GGGGGGGGGGGGGGGGGGGGGAAGGTAACTGCCTTTTATCTATAAATAGAGGAGATAGGGTAATAAATCATTTTCACTTACAAATTGAGATGGGGGTGGTGTTGGGGATGGGCTAGGTCGTTGGGGGTTGAAAATCAAATGTTATCTATATGAAGTGGATGTAGTACCAGGTCAACTTACTTGTTTTTGTCCCATCGTGCCCCATCACAAAAGAGCCCATAAATGTAGACACCATCCTCTGGGGGATCGTCTATCAGAGTGTAATCCACGGACATGACCTAGGGAAGGGCAAACATACTGGTGTAAATCTCAACATTACATATATCTATCAGAGTGTAATCCACGGACATGACCTAGGGAAGGGCAAACATACTGGTGTAAATCTCAACATTACATATATCTATAAAAGTGTAATCCACAGACATGACCTAGGGAAGGGCAAACAGACTGGTGGAAATCTCAACATTACAGATATCTATCAGAGTGTAACCCACGGACATAACCTAGGGAAGGGCAAACATAATGGTGTAAATCTCAACATTACATAGATCTATCAGAGTGTAATCCACGGACATGACCGAGGGAAGGGCAAACATACTGGGGTAAATCTCAACATTACATATGTCTATCAGAGTGTCACCCACGGACATGACCTAGGGAATGGCAAACATACTGGTGTAAAGCTCAACATTACATATATCTATAAGAGTGTAATCCACAGACATGCCCTAGGGAAGGGCAAACATACTGGCGTAAATCTCAACATTACATATGTCTATCAGAGTGTCACCCACGGACATGACCTAGGGAAGTGCAAACATACTGGTGTAAATCACAACATTACATATATCTATCAGAGAGTAATCCACGGACATGACCTAGGGAATGGCAAACATACTGGTGTAAAGCTCAACATTACATATATCTATCAGAATGTAACCCACGGACATGACCTAGGGAAGTGCAAACATACTGGTGTAAATCACAACATTACATATATCTATCATAGTGTAATCCACAGACATGACCTAGGGAAGTGCAAACATACTGGTGTAAATCACAACATTACATATATCTATCATAGTGTAATCCACAGACATGACCTAGAGAAGGGCAAACATACTGGTGTAATTCTCAACATTACATATATCTAGCAGAGTGTAACCCACGGACATGACCTAGGGAATGGCAAACATACTGGTGTAAAGCTCAACATTACATAGATCTATCAGAGTGTAACCCACGGACATGACCTAGGGAAGCGCAAACATACTGGTGTAAATCTCAATATTACATATATCTATCAGAGTGTAACTCACGGACATGACCTAGGGAAGTGCAAACATACTGGTGTAAATCTCAACATGACATATATCTATCAGAGTGTATCCACGGACATGACCTAGGGAAGGGCAGACATACTGGTGTAAATCTCAATATTACATATATCTATCAGAGTGTATCCACGGACATGACCTAGGGAATGGCAAACATACTGGTGTAAATATCAACATTACATATATTTATCAGAGTGTAACCCACGGACATAACCTAGGGAAGGGCAAACATATGGGTGTAAATCTCAACATTACAGATATCTATCAGAGTGTAAGCCACAGACATGACCTAGGGAATGGCAAACATACTGGTGTAAAGCTCAACATTACATAGATCTATCAGAGTGTAACCCACGGACATAACCTAGGGAAGGGCAAACATAATGGTGTAAATCTCAACATTACAGATATCTATCAGAGTGTAATCCGCGGACATGACCTAGGGAAGGGCAAACATACTGGTGTAAATCTCAACAATTACTTGGTAATACAGTGTAACAACTTCAGACAATCATGGGCAGCCATGTTTGTCCTTGAGAAAATCCATAAGTACAGACAGTCAAACTTCCATCAAACTCCGAAGAGGCAAATTTCTCAGGATGTGAACTTTCGGCTTAGTACAAGTTTTCCCCTTATATAATACTACTGATATTTAAATCATAATTCAAACTTTTATGAGTCGAAATTCTTGTTGTTTAGAATTATATTCTAGGTCTGATCGTTACGAAAACACTGACAAATGGAAGCAAAGCAGGAACTAATACGAGAACATAGAAATGTCCCTGGGTCATTTTAACATCTAAACATGCAAACTACATATGTATAGTTTATAAATACATGTATATGTAAAAATATTTTTTCTATTTACTTTAAATCCAAAACGTATTGCTTTCAAATTTTATTTCTTGCCTTGCGTAGTTCTTGCCTTGCGTTGCCTGACTTAACCTTCATGCTTGATCTTATGCAGTGTATACCGAATCACTAAGTTCGAGATTCGTGAATTGAATTCTTGATTTTTCGAATTTTTCCAGATGGTCCCCCAAAGTTAGAAACATCGAAGTTTGACTGTAGTTGACACAGGTTTTTTCTTTATGACTATCTACTAGTACCTACCTCAACACATGATATTATACATAAAGCAAGTTTAGTAATAATCTCAATAAAAGTTCCTGTGGTAAATTTTCAAATCATAAATAAAGTACCTCAAAGTCATAAGCCAGGATATCAATGGGTTGGGTGTACTTCCTGGCGAAATTCTGCATGGCGCCGGTCAAGAAAGCCTGGGTGAAGAAGAATCCGGACACCCAGAAGGACGGTGGCTTGCCTTCGTCGTACCATTTCTACAACACAAGGTCAAGAGGTACAGCTTGAGTTTTATACTTTATAATTTAATTATTTCCATGGGGTATCATCATTTGGTCATCATAGGTATAAAATATATTTTTTGTAAGGTGAATAGCAAGAAAAAATCAACCACAGTAAAATTAAAAGATTTTTTGCAAATTTAAAATATTTTTGCATCACATGTTCAAAAACAATTTACTTATAGGCACCTTGATCCTTATAACTAATGTAAGCTTGAATCAACTGCTTTACTTATTACAACACCAAAAATAGCTCTTAAACTCAATTTGAAGAAAATATATCAAAGTCAGACTACTCCATATTCCGTCTTTGCGTATTGCAGAGTTATATTCTCTTGTGAGCAGGTATTGATTGTTACTTCATTGGTTTATTTGGCAATAAAAGGGGCATAACTCCACCAAAAATGCACGTAAACTTCTGAAATGAGAACTCGTTCGAGCTATATTGGTATGCAATATGTGTACCAAGTATGATTTTAATCAACCAAAGGAACTCAAGTTATTGCACTGAACCTTTGTTTCGGAAAATGCAACCGCCACCGCCGCCAAAGTAATACCTATATGCGGCCTCGCGTTGCAGGCGACCCAAAAACTATAAGATATGTGATATAATCAATTTTCAAACATCATTACTCTTTATGTATATTAATCGACACAACCACATGCCCGCTATTTCATGATGACATTATGGTTATGTAGTTTCTTATTGCGGCTCGTTGTTACCCATGTCACATTATTCTGCGCAGTATATTTTTCGTGATCAAGATATTGACCCGCAAAATCACGAAAAATGTCATCCCCGCAAAAATATCCTGGAATGCAGTATTTCAAGTAATAATTTCACACCTTTTACAAAAAAATACTGAACACAACTTCATGTCTAACACAGGTATATTTACCTGCAAGAACTTGAGTCTCTCCAGGAAATCTATGACGTAGCTGCCGAGCGGTTTGAGCGATGGATAAGAACGTTTGGACCACATGGCAGGCAGTTTACCAATAAGGAGACTGGCTGCGAGGTCCTCCAGTTCAGAGGACATCACCACGAGACCCTTAATGGCTTTTTGTAGATTGATAAGACTTGAGCTGATGATTGAGAGTAATCTGGAAGATAAACAAACAAACAAACATTGATCACAACATTCTCACCAGTAATGACAAACAATCCAAAAGCCTGAACCATGTACAGAGTGAGACCTGTCGAATCTGACCTCTGAGTATTCTGACATCTTGTCTAATCTGACCCCTGAGTATTCTGACATTCTGTCTAATTCATCATGATGCTGAAAATTACCCAATATTATCATTTTTAAATATACATTCTATTTCTCCAATTGTTACTTTATATGTACATGTATAAGGAAATTTATATAACATTAGATATGACATTTACTGAAGGATTTTTGAAGAGAAACATTTTCTTTGCAAATTTAAGGCTACAAAGTAAAATTTGACAGAAAGTGTGACGTACCTGTTGAATCTCTCCATCTCCTGGACCAACACTGTGTTCATGCTCTCATTGTACACAACAGGGTACTTCTTTGTAGCCTCCTCTATGTCATATATCTTGGGGAGCTGAGGGGAACAAAAATGTTCAGGTTCATTCTCTTAACAAGGGGCAATAATGTTTAAAACAAGGGGCTATTATCCTTAAACAAGGGGCAATAACGCTTAAAACAAGGGGCAATAATGCTTGAAACAAGGGGAAATAATATTTAAAACAAGGGGCTATTATCCTTAAAACAAGGGACAATAACGCTGAAAACAAGGGGCAATAATGCTTGAAACAAGGGGAAATAATGTTTAAAACAAGGGGCTATTATCCTTAAACAAGGGGCAATTATGCTTAAAACAAGGGGCAGTAATATTTAAAACAAGGGGCAATGTTCCTTAAAACAAGGGGAAAGTATGCCTAAAACAAAGCGAAATAATGCTTAAACAAAGGGAAATAATGTGTAAAAAAGGGCAATAATACTTAAAACAAAGGGCAATAATGTTTAAAATGCAATTAATGTTATCCACTAAAAAGAGCAAAAACTTGTAAGTTGAAGACTTACAAATCGTTTTATTCCTTTTAAAAGAGCAGTAACTTTATATATCTTGTACTACAATTGCATCCTAATACCTAATAAAAGTATTAAAAGCAACAAAACCCCAAAGAACTAGTAAGTCTGTCTTTAATTCAAACAACTCCTATTTCCATCTTAGTGGGGCATAATCTACAGCTCAGTAACCAAGGATTGTAGTTTGGTACCTTGGCAATGATGCCACCAGCCATGTTGGAGAGACTAGCATCAGTGTCGCCGCCACCTCCTCCAGCGCCACGACCCTTAGTGAGAAGGACCGAGTCAAACAAGAGGGTGGTGTCCTGAAGTTCTTTGGAGATGTCCACATTTTCGTGCATGCCAAATACCTCGGGAGTCTGTTGCTGAGGCAAGTTCTAGTAAAAGGAGAAAAAAATCTTGTACAATTGTATAATATAGAGTCCTCATATAAACATTTTTAACAGATTTGTTAAAGTTAATGTTTACAATAACTTAAACTGAACGGCACATCTTAAAGATGAAGTAACATAACTTAGATCATTAAAAAAACAATTCAATCATATTGTTTTTCTATGTGAAATTTCATTCGAGAAAACAGAACTGTTTTTAAGGTAACACTGATATGTGTTTTAATAAAATCTAGAGAAATAGCTTTTCCAAAATCATTTTTTAATTCTTAAAATTACAATATTTTTTGTCATGGTAGAAAATTTCAATAAGCAAGAACTCAATTAAAGTGTGTGTGTGTTACCTTGATAAACTGTACGTAGTCGTTGTACGAGCCTTTGGGCGGGGAATAGTAGTTTCCGCTGACGGAGAACTTGTAGCGCTGTTCATCGATGATGTTAGAATTGTAAAAGTCGGCCATTGTGGTGAGGAGACAGCGTCTGTCCCAGTCGTCCGTGACACGTCCACCGTAGTTACATTCACCCGTCATATACTTCAGTGCATCGTATGGAATATCTTCATACTCATTAATAAACATCTGTGGAAGAATTTAAAATACAGTGCGTCTCATCTGTTTTATGTGACAGTAACTCTTAACTCGTTCACCCCTGAAGACACATTTGAACTCTTCCAGTTCAAATGTTGGAATAGTTCATTATGCAATTTCAGGGGTGAGTGAGTTAATATACTGTTGTTTAGCATACTGGACAAGATACTGGGTACTCCTATCCCTGTTGTTTAGCATACTGAATAAGATATTGGGAACTCCCTTCCCTGTTGTTAAGCATACTGGACAATATATTGGGTGCTCCCTTTCCTGTTGTTTAGCATACTGGATAAGATATTAGGTACTACCGTCCCTGTCATTTATCATACAGGATAAGATACTGGGTACTCCCTTCCCTGTCATTTATCATACAGGATAATATATTGGGTACTCCCTTCCCTGTTGTTTAGCATACTGGATAAGATACTGGGTACTCCCTTCCCTGTTGTTTAGCATATGGACAAGACATTGGGAACTCCTTTCCCCGTTGTTTACTATACTAGACCAGATTTATGATTTCTAGTACTCCTGTACACAAGCTACAGAATTTAGTGAAGTTTGCTTATATTATATATTTGCTTCCAAATCTAGTAAATTGGCTAGACATAGCCATGTTATTTTGGATAAAAATATGATATGGTACAAATACCAGATATTGATATTTTGTTTGTCGGGAGATTTCACCTTGATAACTCCTGTTAGATAGACAGGATATACCCTTACCTGTAGCTGTCGGACAGATATCCTCATGTCCGACTCGTTGAATCCGTATGGGATGTTCCAGCCGAGGGGTCCAAACTTACGTCTCTCCTGGACTAAGGCATGGAAGAAGCACAATCCGAAAAGAAGCTTCTCAAATTGCTGCAAGCAAAGACAATGCATGTTTTACAGTGTTATATGCAAAACGTATGATGGAACACTAAAAATTAGCAAAAAATTCAATCTGAACTTGCGGTCATTAACTCATGTTCTACTGTAATAGAGCTTATTGGACTTAGTTATGGTTCGGAATGTGACTACCATGGATTACCGACAATCAGGTAAAGCAATACAACCCCAATTACCATAGAAATGATTTCTTATAAGTAGAATTCTACTGGTCAGTAAAGGGAGATAAATAAAACTTATTTGACCTAAGGGCCACATTCGTTTATTGAGATCCAAAGAGTTGAACCGATTGGACCAGAGTTTTTCGTTTATGAAATAAGGTTGGTCCCAGTAATCTGATGCTGATTCAGGCGAGCCTTGATAAAGCCTTGCAAGGCCTGCATGAACGCATGTCCACCAGGATTTATACCCGAAAATGTTACATTTAAAAATGTGAAACAGGCCAAGGCATCAGGAAAGGGAGATAAGTCAAACACAAGTTGTAGTATCAATGCTGCCTACCAGTTCCTTGCCAGGACAGCCGACGAAGAAATCGCCATCACTGATGGGATCATTAAGGTAAGACTGAAGTAGATTCTGACGAAGCCCAGTCGGCGGTTCATTGGTCATCTTTACACCATTCTGTAGCACTGTAACCGGGAACTAAAACAAAACACAAATACAGGCATAAACTTCCTCATTGTCATCAAAAGATATATTTAACTAAATCTTTCTGCAAAATTATGCAGAAAAAATTCAATTAACAATATTCTATTATCAATCTTATTAAGAATATGTTTAAAGAATCCAAACATTCTAACTAAGCTACCAGTATATTTAGAATGTTCCAATTTAAAAATTAATATATATGCTCTGAATTAATATATGATTTAAATCAACAAAACAATGAATGAAATCTATTTTTTTAAGAGAAATCATGAAATACAAATGTCTTTGATTTTTGTGCTTTCAGATCTAAATAACTGAAATTTTACTTAGTATGATGTCAGTGGCCGTAATAAATTTACACAGCTGGGTCGCCTGGCAAATTGCTCAGACTTTCTACCTCGGCAATGAAACCCAAGATTTGTTGTCAATATGCTCTTTGTTAGAATATATATTTATTACATTCACAAAAATCTATATTCACCTCTGCCTACGGAAGTCACGAATCAGGCCTTTTCAATAAAACATTCCTAACAAATGAATACTAGGAAATTCGGAAGGAGTGTTTAAGCTTGTTATTCAGTGAAAATATAAATTCTAATGTAACGATTTTGTTGTTTACCTTATCTGAGGGGTAGCTTGTCAACCATAACCTGAAGTCAGGATTAATGTTTTCTGGTGTGAATTCCTCGCAGACTTTCTCCAGGGCAGACATCCAGGATACTGCTAAATGACAGTTTTGTAGTACGACCCATGACCCATCCTTTTTGGCGTTCTCAATCATCCTACTGGCAATGGGGCCCTGGATTTATCAATATTTAGTGTCTTATAGAAATTGTTTTCTATTATTACAACCAAGAATGTGATATATCATTAATTAAGAAGCTGATCATTTCCTTTTTCTTTTTTCTTTTTGATGGATGAATTAAATTCTCTCTGTGAGTTTTGCGATTCACATTTTTTTTTTGAAACATACAGAAAATAAAAATCAAATTTAAACTTTTTAGATTTTTTTTTAGATTTCTAGAAGAATTCTTTTGTGAGAAAATATGAATTATCTCCCTTTATGTACACATATTTTTGACCTTGTTACATTGATCATGCGTTCAAATTACAAAAATATGTATCCTGCTCCTATGTAAAAACAGAAATCTCAACTAAACGTTGCACAATGACCAGCTTTAAACTTACCTGTCCCTGCCCAAGAGATATTGAGTTGAATTTATTTCCACCGAAGCCCTTGTCCTCGGCAAACTTGAGCAGTGCCATGATTGGATCAGCTCCGGGTGACAAGACGAAGATCAGCGGGGAACAGCAGTTAGAGTCGGCGTAACTCTTGGCCAGATCAAAGGGAGGCGGTTCTACAAACTTCTTACCAAGCTTTTCACGGACAAAGTTCGTAATAGACGGATTCACCTGTAGAAAATTTATAAATATTTTTATTAAAATTTATTAATTAGTGTTTAAGACTTCTGAAGCTTTCTGGTTGAAAGGAAAGTAAAATGAAATAAGACAAAATCATGTGAAGAGTTTTTGCTTTAGCCTAATCAGGTTTTCAGTGTGAAAGGAATGCAATTTTGGACAAAGTTGGTCAAAATTTCTCAAAAAGAATCCATGTCAAAAGTGTGACAAAGGTTCAATGGCATATACATGTGCAGATTTAAATTTTGCTATACTTCCACAAAGGCATAATGCTGGCATTATAAAGGCAGTTTGAAAAGCATAACAGGAAATTTAAAAGGAAGTGATGAATGAGGAGGAATAGACAAAAAATCTTTTTAAAGATGTCATTCAATAAAAGTGATGCTAAACTAGGGAGAACATAATACTGTTATTTTAGTACATATACAATGTATTCATAATACAAAGGATATTTTTAGACTGACTCAAATCCCGACGGGTATCACACAGTGACTATTTCAGCGGCATGTCTAATTCTATTCACACCTTATCTGGTCGAATGACACGGAGGATCATCATTTTCTGGAAATCGTTGGAGTCTTTGTCCCAGGGTTCTGGTAACACTTCGTTGTGTGGTTCACGCGAGTTATAATACTTCTTCCAAGCATCCACATTCTTGATAAAGTGCGGTCTGAATGGGAGACAAAAGTTTGATTCAACATCTCAATTCCAGTCAAGTTAAAGTTTTAAAACGAATCTTCAAAAAAAAGGTTGATGAAACTTTCCAAACTAGAATATGTAATTATTCATCTCTAACAAATAAAAAAAAAACCATCTTAATTTGATATTTTGATAAGAAGGTAGGCAATTTTTGGCATTGCAAAATATTTTTACAAAGGCTTAAGAAGAAATCCATTTAAACGTACATAAAAATCTAGAGAAGGGAAGGACAACAGATTTTTTTGGTGGCCTCACTTAACAATATTCTACTATACCGATCATTTGATCAATACATACCTTAATTTTTTGAAATGTTTTAGATCTGACAGTCGACACAATTCATCCCAACTCTTGTCTAAGAGCCAAGTGGGGGCCGGATTGGGCAGAGTGTTGTCCAGGCCGACACCACCGGTCAAGAAGAACATGAGCTCTTCTGAGTCCATGTCATCCTTAGCTCTACCAAAGGAAAAGTGACATGTCAGAATTTTGATAGATACATTTGTAAATGTTATATAGTATGATATGATAATTAATTACTATTATTTCATAGTTGCTAAGAAACCAATTCTTGGAGACCATCTCAAATAACCTGATGTCTAATCGTCTAAAATTTTGATTGAATTAAATATCTTTATAACTGAACTTTTTTCAATATTTAACTGATAAATTGTAGTCAATAAACATTTGAAAAATTACATACTTTATTGTATAAATCTACTCATTAATTTATAATGAAAGCAGCACATAATTGGAACATTTAATGAGTTTTTGACATTTGATATACTGTATCTATCATATATATTACATATATATAAACAAACAAATGACATATGTATCAGGTATTTCTGTAAAACATCCCACTCAAAACATCAATGTAAAACTACAAAAGATATAAAACAAAGGGTGATGGCTATAACCAATAGTGAAAATTGTCTCCCCTTCGTCAAACCATAACTACTGTACACTCCAACGGAAATTCTATCTGTAACAATGGTGATTTTGACCTTTGAACTTTCTGACCTCCAAGACTTTTCATTAGTATCTGAGCAGGCTAGGACCAATTTAACTCATTTCCCCCAGATGACACATTTGAACTCTTCCAATTCAAATGTCGGTATAAATCATTATAAAACTTCAGGGGTGATTGAGTTAAGGACTCTACAGTTAGATTAGACACACCACAATTCAAATTATTTCAGAAGAACTTGATATTCGGCTACTGATCGAATGAAAAGTAATATAGGGTCTTGAGCACTACAGTTGGAGTAAAAAAACTGAAAGTATAAGTTCTGGTGACCTTGAACTTTGACCTATTGACCTCATCTCAATTTCCAAATATGCAACCTTTGTTTGAAGGCTGAACACAGCAGAATCAAATGCACTTAAGTTCTATTCATGAGAATAGTGACCTTGAGGTGACCTTGACCTCAAATCAGAAATGCAATCCCAGCTATCCATTTCACATACAGGATCTGTAGTCTAAGCTTTAAAAGGCCAAGAGGACCAAAGTTATCGCATGTGACTTAAACACTGCAGACTGAAAGACGCCACTAAATTAGAATCAGGAGGGGAGACAACTAGTGAGACCAACAGGCCATAAAATGAAATTATTACAAAATCAAATCAAACGTAATGATGGAAGTATAGATATATATACTCAGCACTTCAGAGAGAGGAAAAGTTTTTACGAGCAACCGTTTCAAAACAATAATATTTATATATAGATATATGTGGTTAGGATACACAAGTATATTATATTAATATAACCGAGCAAAACTTCAAAAAGAACACAACATAGTTATATTAGCAATAAGACCAATCCTGAAAGAGTTCACATCAAAACAAAATGTTGCCAAATAGTTTTCAAAACTGTTGAAAATATTATCTAATATCATGCAAGATGGAACTTATGTAAAAATCAATATTTCAAAAGGAGCTATAAATTTGTAATGAATTTTTCACATTTCAATAGACAGAATAGACTTTTAGCAACATTTATATAATGGAAAGTCAACACACAAAAACCAGAACAAAACGGTTAATGGGTTAATGTTAAATGTTAATAAAAAGCACATAGTAATCAAACACGACAAAAAAGAACCATGCGAAAACCATTCCAGCGATTCACTCCATTTCATACTTACAACAACATGTTTGAACAGAGAATGAAAGAAAAGAGCAGTTTGTCTTTCTCAAAGAGGGATCGACAAACATTACAGTAGAGACTGTAAGTGAAGTAGTCAGAGAGGTATCGTAAACGGCGCTCCAGAATCTTGGATTTGTTGCTGAAAAACATGCAGAATCAACAAACATATATAGCCATATTGTATACAAGCTTCTGCTGGTGGTGACAGACAAGAGTTGTTCCCCTTGTCTGAGGTCTCCGCTGCCACACAGGTGGAAAGTCCCAGGACATGCCTTAAACACATCGTGGTGTATTGGTATATAGGGAAAAACTCAGGAAATATACCAGAGACAATTACAGTATACATGTCTCCGACTAATTACAGCATTTACAAACATCTTTAAAAAGTTCCTTAGAAAATATTTTGAAAATAGAATATCTTTTAAATGAAAATTTCAATTTTCGGCTATGTTTGTAAATACTGTAGTTGCACTAAATTTTGAACCCAGACTGTACAACAATGTCAATTAATGTAAAAAAAAAAAAAAAAGAACGATAAGAAAAATGTAAAATAGGGAATATTTTGAAAAAGAATGCTTTCTGGTAGAAAAAATTGACATTTATTGTACTGCAGGGCTCAAAATTCTCAGACTAAAAGCAGTAGGTTTGGAGGAGTACACATGTACATGGTAGCGAGTATATAGGTGTACACATGTACATGGTAGCGAGTATATAGGTGTACACATGTACATGGTAGCGAGTATATAGGTGTACACATGTACATGGTAGCGAGTATATAGGTGTACACATGTACATGGTAGCGAGTATATAGGTGTACACATGTACATGGTAGCGAGTATATAGGTGTACACATGTACATGGTAGCGAGTATATAGGTGTACACATGTACATGGTAGCGAGTATATAGGTGTACACATGTACATGGTAGCGAGTATATAGGTGTACACATGTACATGGTAGCGAGTATATAGGTGTACACATGTACATGGTAGCGAGTATATAGGTGTACACATGTACATGGTAGCGAGTATATAGGTGTACACATGTACATGGTAGCGAGTATATAGGTGTACACATGTTTGCGAGTATACAGTCAGTTACATAAAGGTGAGTACACAAGAAGGCGAGTATACATGGACAAATCAAGTATACAAGTGTATGATAGCGAGTATGCAGGCCAAGAGAATATGATCGGACGAGTACACGTGTGTATGATAGTGAGTACACAAGTGTAGCGAGTGCGCAGGAAGAGTGTTGAGCGAGCTCTGGGTTACGAGTACGGTACTTTAGGAGTCTCTAACCACTATACAAGACTAGACGACACTATTACTATATACTCCACATTTTCTCGTGTGAATACTCACAACTGTAGATTTGCACAGAGTAGGAACGCAAACACGAGCTTGTGCATTGCAAATATTGAGCGTGTTATATTGTCGTATAACTGAAACTGGAAGTGATCCTTCAAATATCGTAGACGGCGTTCCAAGATCTTGGACTTATTACTGAAATAAGGCAAGTGTGATGACAAGTTCATTATTAGAAATACTCTTCCATGTATAATTTTAATTTGAAATTGAACGATATTGTTTTTGGTTTTTTTCCAAATTTATTTTAATTAAAATATGATGACGTTTTAACTTACTTGAATCTAAAATTTCAGACAGCAGATGTTTCGACAACGGTTCTGTTATTGTAACCATATGTAGCGATACCGATACCGATACTCCAACTAAGATTTCATTGGTTGTTAATTACAACAAAACGAACAAGATGTTAACTAAAGTGTGTTTAAGACGCTTTTCATTACAGCAAATTTAAGGCATCTACAAATATTAAAAAAATAGAACAAATTAAAACGCTTGACACATTTAGCATTAATTCTAATGTGACATAGTATTTTGAAAGGAAATGCAAAAGTCTGTTACTTCAAAATGGACGACAAAAAAAATAAAAAATAAAAATAATGGGTAAATAATTTCTGGTGATCAAATTTAAGCTGAAAATGTGTGTGCAATTGAAATACTCAACAAAATTATTACATGAAGTGTTATCTATGGGTCGTCATGATAAAAATTACAAAAATGATAGAAGAATGCAAATTATCATATATTTCGAAGCTGTGAGGTGGGTTTCTTTAATGCGGTAGGATGTTTGGGATGAAAGAAACACTTCATAAATTGTACAAGATTTACATTCAACATTATACATGAATAGCAACTCTTTTGAAGCATTTGAAAATCAAAAATAAATGAAATTTCCATAGATTTATGTTAATAACATAAACAATCTGTATCTTTTAAATTCTTTACATCAAGATTAAATAATACATTTATACAATATTAAATCAATAACTATTTCTGAAATTTCTGATTTACTTGTTGCATGAAATATCATTATTGCCACTTCAGATTTTAAAACTTTTATTTGTTGAAGATATTTTTAGTTTGGATCCCTGTTCCACTGCCAACACTGAAGATATCCACTTTAGTTTTCCATACCAAGTGTGTAACCTACCCTTAATCAAATTGTGGATAAAATTGCAGTACAACCAGGTAGGTCAGTTATTAAGACTGAGAGTAGAGTGATTTGAGGTCCAGAGTTTGAATCCTTGCCTGACCGGACCCCATTACATTTTTACACTCACAACACTATAGTTAGTTATTTATTACTTTGTCTTTACTAATTTTTTCATAAATGCTCCGCATCGTTTGATTTTCTTTCCAGAAATGATTTATCAAAACTATAACTAGGTCATAAAAAAAGTTTTTTATGCATAGTATTAATTTGACAGTGGTACGGGGATCCTTATAATATTTGACACAGGATGTATCCAAATCTAACAGATAAGCGAGACATTACCTGTCATGAATGGATGCCACATAGAGGTTGACGAACCAGGTCAGTGAATACTGGTACATAGGGTCAATGTTTGGCAGATCAGCGATGGAGAAAAACAAGATGGAGGAGTGTTTGGCGATTGGTCGGTAACCCATACGGGATGTGTCAATTTTCTGCTCCGTCTCCTCGGCAATCTAAGGAAGAGTGAATAAGCATTATGTATTTCTCTAATGAGTTTTAACAAATTTGCATTTTGTCATTTCAAAATCTGATTGGGCAACATAAGACTTTATTACGACCCTATAACACTGCCAATGTACGAACTCTACACAAAATCATAAAATGACCATTCCTTTGACCGATCCATAGAAAAATCTCTTAACCTGTTGACTGGTCCATATTTCTAACTACTGCTCTGCAGTCGGTCAAGAACATTTGGCAATCACATTTGACAGACATTTTATGGAAATGGAGTTCAACATTAACATCATTTACAATGAATACCAGATAACATTTGTTTCCACATAAAATGTTTCAAATGAAAAAAAAAAGATTCATGGCTAGAGTGCTACCATAAACATTTCTACAGATCTAATTTACGAGTTTGAAAGATTATCTGAATATCCTGAACATTTTAATAGGAGCTAAAGATGTGCTTGTTGAAAGTTTCACAGTTTGTGATACTTGAAGAATGTTTACAGCATGAATACCTTTTGTTTCTTGGAGATTTCATCGGAGAGGATCTTTGAGGAGTCGAGGACCTTGATGGCCGACTCATCCTCTAAGATGTTGCCCTCTGACGCAGAAAGAGTGTGTAGGATCTTGTCCTCAATCTCCTTGAGGGCCTTCTTGTTGGCAGCGCTCTGTACAATCAGGGCTTGTCTCTCCTCCTCCAGCTCTGGCCTGTAATACGCAACAGTACAACAGTGCTCTGTACCCTTATATAGAAACTGCATACTGGGAAACTTCACCCAGTCAACTTTTTGCACTACCCCCAAATCCAAATTTTCCCTCTGTAAATTCAGCCCCTCACAGTAGATTGCAATGTTTATTATGTTGTTTGCTAAATTGGTTCTATGATAAATTCTCAACCATTACCGAGGGTGAAAAAGTCGAAAATTAAAAAGCAAAAATGCGATAAAAATTTACTGGTATACAGTATATATATAATGTACATGCTAGCTTTGAAAGTGAGTTATTGATTTAAAAAAAAAAAAAAAATCTGTTAGGATAATTTTACTGTTGTTATGATACATTAAATATAGAGTCAACCTGATCAAGAGACCACCTCTATAGAGTGACTACCTGTGTTGAAAGACAACTTTTAAAACTTTCCATTTCACTTTCTTTCCTGTTAAATGATACTGTATTTTGTGGTACATGTATATGAAATAATTTTAGTAACTTTTTAGTAAAATTGTGCTAAACAAAAAGTCTAACCAAGATGTCATACAGTTTTATGTAGGGGAAAGGCAAACGCGTAAGGCTCCACCACTTATGACGTGGGGGCATAGATAAAAATCTGACCAATTGGGTCAATGTTGAGATAGTACAGCTAACAAACATACCGTTCCTTGGCGACAACTATTCCCAGCAGCTGATCCTCCAGACCCTCGGGGGTGATCATGAAATTGAGGAGGGATACTTTGACGGCGACCTCGGGTAGGTAGTGAGGGTTTCTCAATTTGGTGGTGATATAAAAACGGAAGTCTTTGCTGTACTCAATCACGTTCTCTCCCAGTCGGATCATCTCAACACCACCTACACCCGGAAAGGAGAAGTAAAACTGTACGATTGGCCAATAGTTACAAACGTTTACATCATTTTTAGAAATTATCATTTTTTAATACAATTGTCTGCTACACTGGATATTTTTGCTGATTTCTTGTATACTGCATCTATACCAAAATATACATACACCAATATTTTGAATTACGAAATAAATTCTAAAGATTTAAAAAAAAATGCGAAATAGAAGAACCCTAAAATGTGTATCTATAGAATTTATATGAGCAAAAAATTGTTAATATTAAAAATTATTTCAATTCATTACAAAATGCAATCATATCTATCAGAAAACACCTATACAACAACATTGTCAATGGGAAGCCTTGTGGACAACAGGAGCAGATCTATTTTAGCAGTATGGCAAATTGTTTGACAAGTCAAAATGCAATTTCTTTTTTTGGTGTGTGCATGATTTTCATGTTTAAATTGATGGATTAAAAAGTCAATGTGGTCCACTGTGAAAAAAGGATATCATTTGCTAAATATTTCAATTAAGAATTTTTGGAAAAGTCCAGAATTTTTAATCTAGCGGGGTTGAACTCTGACCTTGTTTGTATGTTTGCTTTAGCAGTAGGGGTTCCAGAGATGGATCCAGCTCTTCCGTGACATTTTCCAGCAGGAGAGGGTTTCCGAACTGGATACAGTTTTCCAGATTCCTCATGTAGTCCAAGTCTGTAAACTTGATCACTGCCAGTTTGTGGTCCTTCTCCATGTTCTTTACCCATTTGTTAGCCTGACCCTGGGGGTCAATCATCAGAGGCCTGCAAGGGGAGACAACTCGTGTAAGCAAACTCTCCAAGGGAGACCACTCACTAGATAATCTCAATACTATGTACAGTAGTAATTGGCAGAAGTTTTGTTTGACTTACATAACATGATGATGTATATCAATTCACAAAAGGAATGATATATCATTTAAAAAAATAATAATATTATGTCAGATAATTTTGAAGATAAGTAAGCAATCAATGCATAGGGATGGTGTTTGTGCTCATTGAAAGTAGAGTAACAAAAAAAACCTGACAAAGGATTGTAATTTGAAGGTGCCTGTTCTTGAATTCCGATAGAAATCACGAACAAATAAAATGTTTTGAAATATCAATAAAATCAAAATGGCTGGGTAAATCATTATTATACAATATACAAAGAAAAAATAAGATCAACCAAATGCTCATACCATCTTCTAGCGTTTGCCACGATGACACCATTGTCAATGGAGAAACTGTCTCTGGGTAACCCTGCGATGTTCCAGGCCTGGATTTTGATTGGTTCCCCGAGGATTTTGCTAAGGGAAAACTCCTGCGAGCATGGAATCTTCCGTTCCTGTGTAGGAAATAGAAACAACATTAATTTTATTTTCACAGACAACTTTTAAATACTATGACACATAATGACAAGAAGTTTAAAACATTATCAAATCAAGTAACAACAGATGATTTTTGCGAATCCAGTCATCACTGATCTGCTCGTCCCAATTACCCAACGTATGTCTTAGGTAGCAGAATGGCACTTTTTTTTTTACATACAATTGTGACATTGAAACAGTTATATTACAATCCGATCCAATTCTGCCAGGATATTCAAGACACAACTAACCTGGTTGTCCTACTTTCCAGCCAGTGTTTAAAATACAAATCAGCTTTTTTCTATATAATTTTACCCCTGTGACATTGCCATCTGAAAATCCAGCCATTTGGGTTGCGAACAACGGTGTTGGATTATCAAAACTCCAAAATTTACACTGCTAGCCGACATAATAACAAAAAGTATGAATGACTGTCTTGATAAGATGACAAAAAATATGTTCATAACCAAATCTTGACAAAAGTTGTGATAAAAATTTCAAAAGTAATGAATCAATGAATGTTCGCTGTACTTACAGTACATGTCTTGACCCAGTCCACAGTACAACTATCTCGGAAGGCCAAGGTGAAAGGTCCCAGGTAGGCTATCACTCCGGCCGATATCAACACATCTCCTACTAAATTGTCGTAAATGTTCTGAAGGTTGGCTGCAGCCTGTGTCCATCTGTCTTTCTCACCACCCAGACCTCCAATAAGCTTCTCGGCCCGTACCAACTTTTTCCCACACAAGTCGACCTGGTCCTCCAGCTGTTGCTTCTTCGCCGTCATGTCCTCGAAGGTTGACTTCAAATCGGCAAGGCGTTTCTCTACCGCGGCTAGCTCTGCTCGTTTGGCATTCAAAGCTGACATAGTGGTTTTGAGATCGGATTCGGCTTCAGCCAGACTTTCCTTTTTAGGGCCTACGACTTTAGCCACGCGGTCGTAGATTTCCATGGCCATGATCCACTTACACAACCCTTCAGCAGCAGAGGATGCATTGGCAACCTTCGCTGGATCAAATTCAGGATTGGGAATAAACTCTTTCCTGATTTTGGTCATCACATGGACCTATCAACAGATACAAATTTTGTTTAATCAAACACAACAATGCTAAACTTTAAACATGGAATCCAAATTTCAAATGGAAAAAAGCATAAGCGAGAGGCTTTGTCAAAGAAAAATATTCAGTTCGAGGTAACCTTGCGAAAGAGTTTAAATATATATGTATTTTACAATACAAATGTACTAGTAATACATATGTGTCTATGTGTACATAGCAAAGGGGACTGAAAACAACCACTTATTCTATGATTGCTTCATTTGCATCTGAAAATGCAGTGAATATAAAGTACTGTTCTGATTGGGCAATACTTAGAGCGATATCATTACAGGTGATATCATCACAGGTGAAGATAGGAATTTTCCTACATTTTCACCTCACTGCGGTAAAGATGTAACTTTTTTTTTTAAACTGATCATTTCGAATATTTCACTGGCAAAAATGGAATAAAATAACATACCGGAATATTATCTTTGTCATATTCTTTGAGCATGCTAAGGAAGCTCATATCTCCCAGCAGTTTTTTCGAGGGACCCCAGTAGTCCATTATTTTCTGTCCAGGCTTGTCTGGGTCGTTGATCTTATCTGGTTTGATGTCCTTCATCACACAAACTGCAGACATGACCAGCTTCACACCAGAGGGCGGGCTCTTCATCGACTTCACAATGGTAATGTCAGATGGCTATTGCACAGAGCGAAAGAAAATAAAGAGATTTTAAATATTAATTACTATTGAATAACAGTGTAAAAGTTGAATCATGTAAATAAAACTTAAAAGCTGTCATATTGTATTGAAAATCGTTATCCCTTTTGAATGTTCCACTACTGGCTAAAAACAGACCTTCACATCCACAAAATCAAAATTCATAATAAACAATAACTCTGTGCTTACTGTCTTTTGATTTAGGTACAGTACACTGGGAAAGGTTTGCCCAGTCAAACTTTTGGCCTTTGTCCAATGATGAAATCAATTTCCGCCCAATGTTGATCTCGCCCTTCACATTTCATTACTATGTATAATATGATGTTTAGCTATGTTCGCTGCACTGATGAATTCACCCTCATTACAGAGGGCGGAAAAAGGTGAAAAAAATTCCAGTTATATATAGTATGTCTTATTGCTTAAAGACACAGCAATATTTACTTACCTCAGATGAACCTAATATTAAATGAAGTTTTGGAACAGATAATATTTCTCTGGTACATCTATTAACTCTTTCACCCCTATGTTACTATAGTAGACTCTACCATGCATTGATCTGGATGGTTCCATTATGGTCTACAGTGGTGAAAGGGTTAATGTTATTTCACCTTGAGTGTATTAAGAGCTGCCAAAGCTGCTTCAAGGGCAGGAATGGCCTCAGCCAGGTCAGCCTCGCATTCGTCTTTAAGTGCCTGAGCGCTTGCTGCCTGTTCGTTGGCGACCGCCTCGTCAGCTTTGACGATTTTACTGGTGGCCTCGACCTCGACGGACTCCTTCTCAATGACGATCATCATTTTGGAATTTTCCGCCTGGCTCTTTACCAATTGTGGCTGTAGCTCCTCCAGTTCTTTCTGCATTTCTGCCACCTGGTGGAGTAAAAGGGGAGATAAAAATTGTAGGATAATCTGAAATCTTAAAACTTATGTGATAACGTCTATATTAACAACAAACAGAGGGGTGTGGTTTACAGAGCTAAACAACAGTATATCGACCCTGTAACACAGGTAAGTACTTTTATTGATTACAAAAACAATATGTTTTTATTATAATTACTTAAATCAGTTATATTTTGAAAGGTGTACAGTATATATTTTATCATCGATTCTATGTGGTGATTTTATTATCAATTTTAATCTATTGTCATTACTTTTCCAGACACAATTCTTCAAATATCTATTGTTGTTGATCTTGCAACTTCAACTGCCAAAAATAAACATTTGTCCAAAAAAAATACTTACAGTATTCCAGGGATAATTTGGTTTTTTGATAAAACTTTTTTTTTATTCTGAAGCTTATATTTCTCAGCATTTTCTAGGGCAAAGATATTGGGTATTACCTCTTTTCTGAAAATTGAATTCCTTTCATGATCATAAAAATTATTCTCTTAACAACATTTACCTGTTACTTATTTTTTTGACAAAACCTTGCCCGTTTCTGCTCACCTGTGTCGAGGCGAAGGCTAGCTTCTCCAGACCGACCACGTATCTCCTCTTGGCCCTCATCGTTTCATCCTGTTTGCTCTTGAGGAGATTTTTGAAGGAGTTAATCAACTCTAGGTATGAGGTAGGGGTCACATAGTTATGGCGACCAAGCTCTTGCAGGAATTTGTCGGACAGTTTGGTTGTACTCTGATGGAAGTACTTGACTATGTGAACAGTCTCCACCTTTTCCTGATCTTCAAGCTCAACCTGCTCCAAGAACTTATTGGCGACTCTTTCCAGGGCATCTTCGGGCCAAGGCTAAAAGTGGAAACATTGATATTTTATAAAATAATGCAGACATAAAGGGCTTAACTTTTTTCCGTATTTTTCAAAATCAAGGCCAACATGGCGCAACAGAAATATGGGAAATGAATGACACAAAGAGTCAAAGACCAATATTTCATGTTGGACAGACAGGTTTTTGGATAATACAAATTAGTCTAAACTCTAACTTTGATACAGTTGAAAGTCTTGACCAATTTGGTGAAAGTCAGATCATTTTAAAGAGTTATTTACCATTTTCAAAATGCAGACTATACGAAACGTCTTACAATTTACAAGTATCTGAGTGCTCCCTGTCTTCAAATGATTACTTCGAATCTGTTCATAGAAAGTGTATCTTTTTGATTCCAACTTTAAGCAATGCAAGATTGAAAAAGCCAAGAAAAACACCCGGATGGACATTCTTGATAGAGGAAGTACTGTATTGTTGACTTAACTTCACTATTTGGTAGCAAATAGGGGAATAGATTGTTTCTTTTGTGTCTGTATATAATTTGTGGTTTTAATATTCACTCGGTTTTTAAATTTCATGCTTTCTGTGGTGACTGCAAATATAACAAAATTAAATCCCCTGCAAAATATTCCCAACTGTACAGTACTATTTGTGACAAATCATACAAAATGTTGAGTTGTTCACGTTTACTTAGGTTGTAGGTTTTTCCAGTAGCGGTATTTACCTGGAACCAATCGATGGTACAACAGTTGATGAGAGCCGGAAACTGTCTGAGACGGTTACGGAAGGCGTCCCCGATGGGGCTGAACGCAATGATGATGTGAAGGTTCTCTCGACAACGGTTCACAAAAAACGCAAACAGCGACAGAGGGCTGAAGTCGGCATTCTTGTCGCCAGCCTGGGCAATCGGTCGCACTGCCTGAATGACAGAAGAGTGGCAGTTAAATAAAATAATTTGTAAAAAAAACAAAAAAAAATCCAATAATTCATTTATACATACAAAGCATGGCATTTTTTGTTTGTCTTTGCTTTATTTTTTTTTGTCTTAGATTTTAAAAATAATGGTCATGATGTGAGATTTGAAATGATATATCATTTATTATATTAATTAAGCCAAGAGAATAAAACCTGTGTAGCAATATTGGTATTCATTAAAGCTTTGTTTACAAAAAAGTTTGAATACTATCAGAAGACTGTGCATCAGAATACAGTGAAACCTGTTTAATCTGACCCCTAAGTATACCAACATCCTGTCGGACCCCGAAGTATTCTAACAGCCTGTCTGATCCAATATGATACAGTTATCCCATTACCAAATAAGACCTGTATACTTTGACAATGAACAAAGGGTGTCTGGTTAGACGGGTAAACCTGACCAATATGTTGTGTACCACAGGGTATAACTACAAGGTTTCCTTCCTGTTTTATATCACATACAAGTACAGCATTCCTAAACTATTCATGTGTTTCTATTCATTTAGTCACTTATTGCATCTAGTTCATTTCTACAACATTGTATAGGCCAAATAACACTATTTGTTTGCATTATTTCATAAATATTGATTATTATTGACATTATTTTTCAATTTGGCATTTTTGTTGAGTTCATTTGTCCTGGAGCGCATACCTCCATTATTTCCGCCTTTTCGTCTGTAGCGAACAGGTTGGGAACCTCGCCAGTGTTGAGAAGGTTATCAATGTCTTCCAGGAAGGATTCCTCTTTGATTTGTGTGTCTGTGAGGAGGAACACAGTGGTGTTTCCCTGGCAACCTGACGCCTTGAGCAAAGACTGCGATTATGCAAAAAAGAAAAAGAAATTTAAGAAAACAATTTTTTCAACACCTATCACTTTTTTTACCACAATTCTGTTTTAGACTATCAGGGTAAGCATGATAAAAAAAATAACATCAAAAAAAGATTCTAAAATTGTCTTCCAAACGACCTCATGACCTTTGAGATCATGACATTGATTATTTTCAATCTTATTATATGTCTTATAGCAAATTGAAATTTAAATCTTCAATTGTGTGATGGGAAGAAGGAACTTAACTCTGACATTCACCCCTGATATTTAATAATGAACTATTCCAACCTTTGAATTGGAAGAGTTCAAATGTGTCTTAAGGAGTGAACGAGTTAAGCGTCGTTTGGAAAAATGAGCATACAATAACCAACTAACCTTGATGTCTTCCCTCCATTCAAACTTGCCGTAACTTTTGGAGATTTCGGGCTGAAAAATGTTGTAGCCAGCCATGGCTGTGGCAAGTCGGGTCAGAGACTGTCGTCCGCTGCCACCGACTCCCACCAACATGGCATTACCTCCAGGGATTCGTAGGATACGACAGATACGGGACAGATGCTCCAGAACATATCTGCACAATTACAAACGAAGCATTGGATTACATTTCATACTAAAAAATTCTTCACATACGGAAGAGCATTTGCTTCTTGAATTTCAAGAAGTTATGTACAATTATCTGAAATAGGTGAGCTGATATAAAATCAAATGTACTATTAACCCTGGGTTCAGAAATATTCGTAATTCCTTGAAAAAAAAATGTCTACATTTCATTTCGTAACCTGAGGTTTCGTATAGTGGAAGTGTTCTTAATTTCTTGAAAAATGTGTCTACATTTCATTTCACAATCGTGTTTCATGTGGTGGAAGAAGTACTTTTATTTCTTTGAAAAAATGTTTCTATTTCATTTCAAAATTAAAGGGTATGAAGAAGACGAGATGCAATCTACTGTGAATTCAGATATTTTCACGGGGCCAAAATTTCGGTTCAACCATTTCGTGGGTACATGAATTCGTGGATTACGAGTACGTAGAATGGCTTTATATCAAATTTGAAATTACTTCACAGACCACAAAATCAATGAAATTAAAAATACCATGAAAATGAGTGATTTTGCAGCATTTTGTGTGAACTGTCACCAAAGAGAACCCACCTGAAGATGACAAGGTTCATCCTGTTTTTGTGAGTGTTATTGTATTCCTCCAGACACGACTCCACCACTGTGTAGAACTGGTTGATCTCCTTCACTTCACTGTATACCCGATCCTCTTGCTCGGCATCAGGGTCCAGGTAATCCCCAAACATCAAACTTCTCAGATCTTCCTCAATCACCTGTCAGGCAAACAATAATAATAATAATTAGAGGTTCTTATATACCGCTTTATGACAACCTAGTTTGTGTAGGTCGTCTCAAAGCGGCTCACAATTTACTATCCGTGGTTATAGGGCCTTTGCAACCAGCCAATAACTTTCTCATTCCCTGGGGAGCATACAGCTGGTGCTGCCATTTCGGCGCTCACAGCTAGCATTCAACAATTGTAGCACTGCCCAACCACGTACTCATTTACAGCTGAGTAGACTGGAACAAGCAGAGTAAAGTACCTTGCTCAAAGATACAACACAGTGCCGTGCCGTGACTCGAACTCGCAACCATTCGGTCACGAGCCCGGTATCCTACCACTAGGCTACCTTGCCTCCAAACAACGGATCAAGTTATTTGGTATAAATACCTTTGTACTTTGTTTGGTAACATTTAGGCATTTTCAAGCATTAACTCATTCACCCCTTAAATTTTATAATGGACTATTCTTAACCTTTGAATTGGAGGAGTTCAAATGTGTCTTCAGAGGTGAATGAGTTAAACCATGAGATCGATGCTTGCCTTACAAAGTTAATCAATCTTTTCCACTAGCTATACTACATTTTGGCTGCAAAGCTATTTCTTAATCATTTAAAAACATGAAATGGGAAAGTCATCCAAAATAATACAGTTTCTCCTAAATACTGTCAAATTTAAGTAAAATTCAAAACCATCAAATTTTATTTCACTTTAAACATTTTTTTTTGTATAACAAATATATCAACATATCCCAATAAAATGTGCCATGGCTACTAGATTTGAAATCTGTGCAAAATAGATCTTTGTGACAATATTTAGCAAATCTGTGAAAAATTAGGGACCACGAAGACAGATGGACAGCATTTCATTGCTTTAACCCTATCACCACTGTAGACCATAATGGACTCATCCAGATCAATGTATGGTAGAGTCTACTAAAGTTATACATAGGGGTGAAAGGGTTAACAGCCATATCAACACTGCAGCCATTCATAACACCATGATGCTTTAGGGTTTTGGAAATCGTCCAGTAAGAAATGACCTTGTGGTGTCCTTGAAGCACTTACCATGCCCTGTCCTGTGCCCCCTCCAGCCAGATGCTCAAACAGAGAATCAAAATCTTCTTTGAAGTGTTCTTTCGTTGCCTTTTTCACAGACCTGGAATAGATAGGGCGTGGACTCTCACGAAATGCCATTGTTTCAAATATTTACGGAATTATTTATCAATCCAAACCTATCAGAAAATACAAATTCCATCTTAACACAATTGTAAGATATACAATAGGTCTAGGTAATTAAAATATTTGAAACTGGGAGAAAAAATAATCTGTATGATTGTAAGGTATAAATCAATAAATCAAATATTTAATTTTCAAACTTTTTCCATAACTTACTTAAATAACCAGTCTCGGTCTGAATCATCGGTGAGACGATCATAGAAGACTCGCATGACCTCATGAACCCACAACCTATAAATAAAACAACATATGTTGTAATCAATATGAAAGAAAACACAACAAAACAAACAGAACATGTGAAAAATTGAACTACTACAGCCAAAATGTATTTGATCTATTACAGAATATACACTTCTTCTGTAATTATATTGCATGTGGTTAACACTGTTTTAAACAATTTTATTAAAAGCGTAGAAGTCTTTCTTGATAAAAACCAACCATGCAGATTTGGAGAAAGAATAAGCCCCCCCTCCCCCTCCCTCCCCTTCAGAATTGGAGTTGGTTTCTTCATTGTTTTCCATATAGGAGACATTGAAGGAGTCAAGAATAGACCTGCTGTCTGCCGCTGCATGTGTTGTGTATAGTCCGCTGCATGTGTTGTGTATAGTCCGCTGCATGTGTTGTGTATAGTCCGCTGCATGTGTTGTGTATAGTAAAAGGCAACAAATTTGAGACCCCTGCAGAATCGGGGGTATCTTCCGTGTCTTCTACAAAAGGGACATGGAAGAGACAAAATTGATCCGCTGCCCTCATTGCAACACTTTGGACCTTTTCTCTTTTCTATCTACTTTCTCTTTCTGGCAGTGTCTCCCTAGGCACCCAACCTCATATCACTCTGGCTGTTGTCTCCCTTGGCACCCAACCTCATATCACCCTGGCTGTTGTGAGGATATTAAACCCCAAACAAACAAACTTAATAAACACAATGTCAAGTCTAAATTGATAAATATATCTCTTACCAATAAATTTGCATATGACGTAAAAAAAAACAGCTCCCGTCAGCCTTATACATTACATACCTGGACAGTAACTTCTTGTTTTCCACCTGAGCTTTTCTGATCAGGCAGACTCCCAGAATGACCCTTGTGAAATCTCGTAGGTTAAAGACGTAGTGAGATTTGGCTGGTGTGGGGAGCAAGCTAGCGATGGCCTGCTTGTACATATCATTGGTGGCTTGCACAATTAAGGACCCCACCGAGAAGAAATCCGCAGTAAGTTCTTGGGACTAAAAGAATAATGTTGAAATAAAATTCACACTGCAACCATAATCACAGTTCAATAAAACATGTGTAAGCTTATGGGAAAAATGTAGGAATTACTTATTAAACAAATAAAACAAAAATTCAAAAAATAATTAAGGGTTGAAAACCTAAATACATGCTTGTCTGAAATATAGGAAGCTCTAACCAAGTTGCTGAAGCAATTGACTTGAAGCAGTTTTGCAGCCTACCTTGAAGTAAGTTGAGATCAGAGTGGAGAAGATCTTGATCATTGTTTCCTCATTGAAGGGGTTCATGGCCACAATGTTAAAATGTCTCAGGAAACGCGCTGTGACATCATTCCTGCCTCCTCCGGGAGGTCCCATGGCGGAGATAAACTGAATATCCTGTAGTATTATCTTTGACGTATCCTTCAGGTCATACCTTCAGGCCGAAACAAACGCATGTTACAAAACAAAACAAAACCAGCAGAATTATAACTGATATCCATGGCAGTAGCATAAATATGTATTTTTGGGAGATTTTAAAATATCGTTGATTGATACAAATTTGTTTCTTTATTTTAAAAATAGTGACATTTTTGCTGTGATTTGAACTATCAAAACTTATATTGTTAAAATGGAAATTCTGGGAAATTTTACTCTGTACACTGTATATATATATATGGATATATTCGTGCTAATTTACTCACTGCAATTATTTTTTTTAGACATTTCCACACTGCATTAACTTTCACTGGCCAAGGATCACAAGGTTGGCCTATACCTACCAATTTCCATGGTCAAAGTACTGCCTCAGTAGTTCTACAGGGGGCTGTGCTCCGTACACCTCTTTCTGGGGCATGTTGAGGTCATCAACGAAGATGACTGCTCGCTTGCCCATCTGTGGGCCAAATACACCCTTACGACGTCTGTCCAATCTGGACATGATGATGTTCTGTGGGACAAACGAGGACGCAATACTGAGTTCAAATTCAACATACAAGTAGGCTGATGAAAATTTTAGGAAATGAGTTATCTAGAATTTCTAAAGACACCTACATGTGATTGGTTAGCACTGGTGTGTGCTGGGAAGTTTACGAAATCATGCCAATACCAAATAGCTGATTGGTTAGCGACACCTACCTGTGTTTGGTTAGCACTGGTCTGTGCCGAGAAGTTTACGAAGGCAGGCAGGAATCTGTCCTTATCCAAGTTGTTCATCAGTTTCTCCTGAACATAAACACTTTTACCGGTACCAGTTGGCCCCACAAACAGTATGGCTCTGAAGAAAACAAAGCATATGCCAAAGAAAATTAGATTTAGAAAAGCAGAAATCTGATTTCATTCCACATAAAAACAAAAAACAAAACTAGGTGAGGATAATAATGCTGTCACTTAGGGCTGCCCCATGATGAACATAATAGATTTAACTAGTTTTGACGTTTTTAGAAATTTTGAATCAAATAAATAAAATTTTAAAATCAGGTTCAGATAACAACTAGCTGACTTTGTATGAAACATATTTATACCAGATGCATGAGTGAAAATGAAAAGTTTGGGAAACATTATATACCGAAAAACTGGGAAACATTATATACCGAAAAACTGGTAAACATTATATACCGAAAAACTTTCACTTGGAGACGCATAACATAATTCTATTTTTAGAAACACCCAGTCCTTTAACAAAGTCAATATCGGTTTTTATTGGTGGTCACGTGATACACTTCTGGCCAATCACTTGTTGGGAATAATATGTAAAACAGCATTTCATATTCTGATCTACAAATGATCTGCTAAAGTTCTTGCAATTTTTTGAAATTTAAAAAAAAAATCAACCGTGCACAGTGTCTTGTTATTGTTTGTTTTTGTTTTTATTTTTGACTCATACCTGCCGTGCTCAATACAAAGGTTCATAAGGAAGTTGTAGCGAGCAGTATCAATTGTGGGTACAAGCATTTCACGGATCTTCTTATTCCCAGTATCTAAGCCCTTATTCAAATCAATCCAGGGCTTCCATAAGCCTCGAGCCTTTTGCTGAAGAAATAAAAAAAAGAATAATGGTCAAAATAAAAAACCCAGACTTGACTTCAAATTTGTTGGCACCCTGAATGGAATTTGAGATACATTTTGCATTCAAGATGGCTTCTATTAAAATTAAAATTATCATTATAAACTCGTCAAAGTCAACGGAAGTTTGAAAAGAACTTTACATTAAGAAAATCTAACCTCGAAAAAGAAATTCAAGATGGCTTCTTACAAAATTCAAATTATCATTATAAAGCAGAAGTTGTGATTTCAAATTCAACGGAAGAAAATCTTACCTCGAAGAAGACGTTGTAAACGTTTTGTTCGGAAGGCAGAGGTACTTCCAGTTTTCCAACAGCTTTGGGCATGGGATATTGGTCCATCTTACCACCGACTATATCCTTGTAAAAGTGATCAAACTTCTCCCTACCGTCGACGTCCACAACGGCAGCTATGGACCATGGGATGGAAAACAGCACAGACGACTGAAATTTACAAATTCACTTTTCTAAACGTATGTTTCCAAACCCTTTAAATTTGCAAAGTATTGAGTGTTATTCTCTTTTAAGACTGACAGTGATCCTTTAATCCCCAAAATATTGTAGATCCCCTTGTTTTTGCGAGAGATTAACTCAATATGAAAAATATGAAAAATTTATGTAAATATTGAGATAATATCCTCTTGATCTCAAATTTTAATTTTCAAATTAAATAAACATCAGAATATAAAATTGTCAAATTATAAATGGGAAGTTTTAGTTTTTTATTTCATTACTTTGTGACTTTATTTGCACCACTGTTATTTAATGTAATAAAATGAACGTACTAATTAGGAGTTGATTCATCACCTATATCATTTCTGAATTTCATTTAGAGGAGAAGAAAAAGTAAACTTGATTATCTAGCGGAGTCATTTCACAGGGTATATATGCATTAAAATTAACTATTGATTTAAAAAATTACAATTCCGACAAAAAATTGTTCAAAACACAGCCTTGAGTAAATGGTACATTGTATATATAATATTCTCTGTAGGAGCATCAACCATGGCAGGGCTACTTACAGTAATCCAAGTCCTCAGGTGTCTGTTTTCGTCCACGTCTTTTTGACTAAGAGATTCAGCCATCAACATGTCGACAAGGTACATGAGTGAGCGCACCTGGTTGGACTCTTTCGACCCGATGTACTCCTAAACAATTTTAACACAGTTGTAATTGGCAGAACTAGGCTTCAAACCTGCTTCTATCAAATCTGAATAATGATTCCTTACAACAGACACTGATATCTCAGTGCCCTTAAGTCCCTTTTAGATCCCATGGCAGTTTATTTTTTTTACATATTTTCATCTGAGTATATCATATAATATGTTTAAACATTTTCGAAAACAGCTTTAAAGCACAACATGATTGACTGTTCGTTCACTTGTTAGAATAATTAACTGAAATATTTTCATGTTTCGCCTTTGACACATTTACCGAGTATCCTCACCTTTGTGTTTTTGCGGACAAATTCTAGGCACGGGTCTACAAGCCACTCAAACAACGCCTCGATCACTTCCGCACCTTCCCTCACCATTGCTCCTGTGAAGGTATTGATCCAGGACCGCATGATTGGTCGCCAGCCGAGGGTCGACGGCTCGAGGTAGACCATACCACATCTACTCACGGTGGCAGGCTGTGGGGCAAAAAAATAAACATAAATAGACACATCTATTAACATATGATACTGTATACAAGAGTCAAACTTTCGCCCTTCACCTGTAAAATCCAGATTGGCCCAGTGTTGATTTCACCTTTCACATTTAGTAACTATGCTGATTATATATAGACTGTTTGTTGTATGATAAATTCACCCTTATCACGGAGGAAATTTAACTGCAGCAAAAAAAAATCCCAGTTTACGGTATACATTTTGGACACAAATATGTACCTGGTATATACATGAAACGGGAAAAACATCTGTAAGAAATGAATGCCCCATTCCCCTTGAAGTCGGTAATTAAACTAATGACAATTAATCTGTTGACAAAATAGCAATTGTTGACCTATAAATAGTAACATTGACAACCTAGGTGCTTATCTTGGGACCGTGAAATATAACCTCAAGAGCTCAACCAAGGTATTCTCATTCTTGACCTTGGTATAAACTTTTGGTGGAAATTTGATAGGAAAGATGGCAGAGCTGTGCCAATGAACACGACGGGATGGCCATGGGTAACATTATATGACCCCCATTTTTATTGTGGGACATACAAATAATTATGTCAAGATTAAAGACAGACACATAATATCCTGACATAATGAGTTGATTTAAACTCATGTCTGCAAGAGAACTGGCATTAAAACATTCTAAACCTCAAAGCCAAGATTCAAATTTTTCAATGGACTTACCGAGGCCTGTGAGAGATCCATGGTCTCGAAGATGAGACTCATCTCATTGGACATCTGAATGATCTCACCGCTCATGAGACACAGTTTCTTGTTGTCATCCAGCACAGTATTCATGTTTTCGATCCACAGGGCGTCAATCGGCCCGTCAAATAAAACCCACTTTCTGTCAGGGGTATCTGTCGAAGCAAACTCTCGGAAAGTGTTGGCAATAATTCCATCTGTCCATTCATGAGAAACAGGGTCAAACTGACCATACAACTGACCCATGGTTATGGCCTTTGGGTTGATGACGCGGAAGAAGACTTTGTTGTAATCCTCAACCCCCTGTTCTGTCAGGAGTGTCATCCCCTCGCTCAAGGTCTCTATGACCGACGTCTTGCAGCCAAATGGCTCTCCCACCAACATGAAGCTAAAATATACAAATTTTAATGTATCGATCAAAGCGAAAAACCATTGAGCTGCTTTATACGGGCTTGGCTAGAAGGGACTCCCCTTTAGCTCAATCAATAGAGCTTAAACTATAGAGCTAGAACCATAAATCTGTAGTTCTGGGTTTGACTTCTAGACAAGGCAGTTGAAAAGGTTCAACTTTATATGCAACAAGAGTACCGCGGGGCGGAACAAAATACGCCCGTCGAATGCCATGTAGTGTTATATACTTTCTTACATTGAAATAAGATCTGCATCATTCTAAGAGTGGTTAGCTGATATACTATAAAAAATGTAGGAGAAAATCTTCGGACAAAAAAATCAAATACTGAAATGAACAAAAGGCAATACATTTTGCATAAATTGTCGAATCAAAATTCTTTTATGGGAGACACAACTTCATATCATGATTATAAAGTATACCAAGATTCAAAGAGATCCGTTGAAAAATGTAGGAGGAGATTGCCGGACAAAAATCAAATACTGAAATGAACAAAGGGCAATAACTTTTGGAAAAATTGTCAAATCAAAATTCTTTCAAGGGAGACACAACTTCATATCATGATTATAATGTATACCAAGTTTCAAAGAGATCGGTCAAAAAATGTAGGAGGAGATTGCCGGACAAACAAAGTTTACGCCGGACGGACGGACAGACAACGCCATGCCATAATACTACCATCAAATTTGACGGTCGTATAAAAATTATCTTATTCTAATATTGCATAGAGAATTTTTCACTGAATCAAAAAAAACAATTTTCTTAAGGGCACTTCAATTAGAGAAATTTTGATACATGCACATGACAAATTTGATCAATTTCCGATATTGCAGACCTGGATTATTCGGCGAATTTTCAAAGTACATTTGCATTAGGCAAAGGTTTTAAGAGAGATTTGTTAACCAACTTTTAAATTGATTTTCAGAAAGGCGTTAGGTAATTACTTCTAACCCTTCCAACTTTTCATAAAATACTACTTTGGAACAATACAAATCAAGAAAATTAAATTACATTTTCTCATCAGTGCATATCTTACTACAAAATACGTCCCTGAATGATAATCATGTTAAATTTCTAGTTACCCGTGTCGGACGATCATCATCTCGTAAGTCTGAATGATTTTCTCCCTGAAGAAATCCACAAATTGAAGATTCTTCTTCGCACAGATCGTCTTCATGGCGTCGATAAACACTTCGTAGTCTGCCTCAGGGAGGGCGAGTCCGGGGAACAGATCGGAAATGATACCATTGAACAGCGGAATGTCGTGGGCTAAGAACTTTGGTAAGTTGACATCAATGATGGAACGCAACAACTGAAAGTTAGAAAACAAATTTTAACAGATATGCTTACCTGGTATTTTCATCTCAATTAATTGGTAAGTTTGCTTGCATTCATGATAAAATGTAACAGCTGAAATTCGACAATAGAAATACAATCAAAGTTCCATCAATAATTGTAAATTGAACAAACTTAATTAAACTTCCCTTATTATAAGAAAAATTATTATCTTGAAAGTCATTTTTAATTTAATCTTTTCTAATATTTTTACAGAATTAACTTAATGGATTTAAAAAAAAAAGGGCTAATTCTTTGTCATATTTTGCTTCTCAATGATAAATGATATGAAATAGAACCTATATTTGCTTAAAGTATCAAATACTTACAAGAATGTCTTCATCATCCTCCGGAAATCGGAGTTTGAGATTACCAGCAGCGGATAACACAGCTTTGACAGCTCTCATTCCATAATCGTAGTGAAACTGCGAGGACAGCTGCTCAGAACACAGTCTATACACCGTCACGATCTTCACAGACAGATTTCTGGCTTTTTGGAATCCAAAGGAGTACAGAGAGATCTCGGCAATCATGGCGTAGTCCGGTACCATCATAGCCACGGTTCGGAAAAGAACCTTCAGATTGTCTGGGAGTTCGGATCTTCCTGCGTAACCAGGGTTCATTGTGATGCACACATAACAGTTTGGATTCAGGTTCAGTTCTGTGCCCTCAAACATGAATGTGTCCACATGGCCTTGAACTGCGCGGATGATGCACAAAATCTGAAAAAATTGATCCGAATAAAAAATATTTCATTATTGTCAAAAAGGAAATGCAGAAAAAACAAGCAAATAAATGGAATTTATATCCCCCGCTTGCAGGACATATTGTAGGTAAACATTATTGAGGTTAGGTTTAAACATGTGAGTGTCGTGCTGTTGAGACATAATGTAGAGCTTGAAACTCGAAGGAAAAAGAAGCTTTATACAGAAGTTAGACTCTTTATTGAACATGTAGGTATATAATGACGTTGTTCGTTATTCAAGGGGCCATAACTCCGCCAAATAAAGTCCGCTGAAAATGGTCATCGAACTTGGCCTGTCATTACCAAGTTTGAAGAAAATAGTCAATATATTGGTACTGCATATTCTGTATAACTTAAAATAATAAGCTTACTGATCCTCAACTTTTCTGATTATTAAAGCAAAAAAACTTGTTTCGCTGGCATTTTTTTATTGTCTAAGCTTCTTAACAGTGTGTTCCCCAATAATGTTTTTTTTCGAATCAGATTGATACAGAATCGTAAATGTAACACACCTGTTGTGCAATGACAGACAACACCTCAAGGTCAATTCTGTTGAACTCATCAAAGCAGGCCCAGGCTCCAGCTGCTGCCAATCCTTTGAAAAACTGAAACCAAAGCAGATGCAGGGATATAATAAGTAAAGGAAATTCAGTAGTGGATCAATCATAATTATGTGATAAAAATTTGCTTCAAAATTTATGATTTTCTTCATAAGTAATAAATTCAGAAACTAAATTCGTCAATCCCTGATGGGAATTTTTCTGCATTAAAAACATTTTACAAAACAGAATTCAAAATATAAATGGCTAAGATACGTAATATTGTTGGCAGTGCTGGTGCAAACTGTTTTCATGTCCTTAAGTAGAATATGTTACCAGCTATAGAAATAGCTACCAGCATGTTTGGAGGTAAGTCGGTGAAAGACAGGTCTCCTGCCAAGACAAAACCCATTGATTTTTAGTAATTGTTCCCATAGAAACCTGGAGATAGCTCTAGGTAGTTAGACTTAAAAAGACTTGTAAATGCACCGTCTGATATACCCAACATTGCTAGATTGCAGACAACAGCGATCACATGTTAGTTACCTTTCCCATAGCAATGTAGTCGAGACCGTCGGAGCAGTTGAACACGACACACTGTACAGCCAAAGCCTTGGCCAGATCCTTGGTGGTCTCTGTCTTGCCAGTTCCGGCTGGCCCCTCGGGAGCCCCGTTGAGGTTGAGGTGAAAGGCCCCAACTAGGGTCCTGTAGCATCTGTCGGTGAGAGGGGTGATGACAAGCCGACCGGTATTACCCAGGTATTCGTAGGCGTACTTGACAGTAGCATTCGTAATTTTCACACGCATGTTTTCATCCTCCCAATAGTAACGTAACTGAGCTAGCCAGTTGAAATCATTTTCTGATGAAACACCTGAAAATAGAGAAAATGTCAATTAATGGTAATCCTGGGCAATATGTTGCATTTCACAAAATTTCCTGAAAATATTTCTATCTCACTCCATCACAAAACAGACTTGTTCCTTTTTTTTTTTTTACCTTTTTCAGCCATTTCCAGAACAGAGTCCCGTGCATGGACATCTATTACAACAAGAGCTCCCAGAGATGTTCGGATCTGTTTGGAGAGTTTTCCTCGTACAAGGATGACAATATCGTTGAGCTGTTTCTGTAGGGTGTTCCAGTAGTCTCTGAGCCCCTGAGGACCCCCAGGAATGGCCTCATGGACCTCACGAGTCCAGTAAGCCTGGGAAGCACACAGTACAACCTGGCCTGGCCATTCTCGAACCCAATCTACACGCTTATCGTTGGCATAAGCCTAAAACACAGAAATTAGGTTTACCTAGTAAGTAACAAATATTTTTCACATTTACAATCACAAATATAGTTTCAGTTTTGAAAATATCTAAGACAATATTTGATTAAATGATTTCATTTCCATTTCTTATAAAATTGGCCTAAAGAAATCTACCGAATTAAAGCTGATTCGTTTGTTTATGAATTACAATGTTTTTCTTCAAAATGGAATTCTAAGTCGAAGTCTTGGATTCTTTTTCTGCCTGAAACATATTTTGAAATAATACTGTGTACTTGAGAATACTTCCAAATTCTTGGCTGTTTTTTTTTTTTAATTGGTTCTTGTTCTCTTAATTTAAAAAAAAAGTATTACAGTACATTTTTATGAGACATTTTACCTGTTTCTGAGAAAATTATGGAAAGGAAGAAGACCTACACTGAGAGGAAAGGACTATGTATGGTTTGGGTGTGTTTTGGCCCCCAAATGCATCAAAATTCAAAACCTTTAAATGAACTTTGAAATGACTGTTTCTTTTATTTTGAAAACTTCCCTAACACTATCATAAAAATATTTATTTGTATAAATTAGAAAAAATTGAATATTCAGTGAATTTTGTCAAATTGTGCATAGTTTTTCTCCTGGAAACTGTAGAGCACATGTTTAAACAAACTCAAAATCAAAGGATAATGTGTAGGCACCTGTAATACATATATAGGAGAAATATTAAGTTTGTTTAAGCTTTCGCTCTATGGTAACTAAGAGAAAAACTAGGCAAAAACCTGTCAAAAGTTACTGAATATTCAAATTTCATTAACTTATGCAAATATTAACTGGTAACCATGGCAGCCATAATTGAAAACCTAAATAAATGTTCACATAATAGTACCAGGGAAGTATTCAAAATTTAAGAAACAGTCATTTGAAAGTTCTATTGAAGATTTTAAGTTTTGATGGATTTGGGGGCCAACAAAGGCTCAAACCATACATAAATCCTCTAGATTTTTTTCTTGTGTACAAAATATAAAAGGGATTTTTTTTTTAATAATCATATCAACGACATTGATTTTTTTTAAACATAATGCTTTGTAATAAGCTTGCCAGGTAAATAAGATTTTCTGAATAAAAAGAAAAAGCAAAATTTCCAATAATTTTTTCAATGTCTCTGACTCTATCAGCTTGGAACGATTTAGCTTATCGCCGATAACTTGTCAAATCTGACTATAAAAACGAGTTGCGTGAAATATTTTGACGTAAAGGGTCTTACCACCATGGCCTCAGCACACACAGCCCTTATAGATTTCAGCATGACCTCCTCCACTTGGAGAAGCCATTTTTCCACGGCACCTCGAGCATCACTTGTGGATATGGGCTGGCTAAACTGGATTTTCTCGCCCTCACTACTGAACAGAGCATGAATGTCAAGTTTGCTATCAAACTGAAGTTTAGCGATTCCTTCAAAGCATTTCTTAAGATGGGGCTGCACTCGGGTTGGATCTTTGGTTTCAGACAAAATTTCCAACATTTCGTCGTTGGAGAGAAAGAAGAACCGAGGGAAGAATAGACGCTTTTTCTCCAGGTAGGCATTTAGTCCTTTGTTAATTTTGTCTAGAAGACCGTTGCTGTCTATCAATTTCTCCAGAAGTCCTGGCAAGTTGGTAGCCACTAGAACCTATTGAAATAGAAAATATATTGTTTATTTTTTTCTAAAATTAATTCTTTCATCGCAAGCTGTCTTAATTATTATTAATTATGCAAGGTACAAAATATTATCATTAATTAGCAAAGTCAATTTACATAAAAAAACAGAAGACTGTAGAAGTTGTACAAATGACTTAAATCTCTACACACCTTGGGGTCCTTGACGGTGTGTTTCATAATGTCCTTCCAGTTCTTGTCGACAGTGGTGAAGAGACGGCCTTCTTCTGGCATCTGACTCATGATATCCTCAGAGGAGAAGATTGGCTCCAAGTACAGCCACTGGGCCTGGACTTTCAGCCACTCATCCGTCGTATCCTGGATACGGATCAATCGCTCCTCCCACTCCTAGAAACCAACCAATCAAATGATCATATTTAATTGATAAAGCTGGCAAATCTTGTCCAAATTCGTTGTTTGTATACAGCAGGACCAAGTGAAGGTCTGATTTTTTACAGGTTTCCAAATATACAGGGTTACATAACAATGTATACAGTGGGGTCTAGTTTAAGTTCTGGTTTATACAGGTGTCCAGATTATACAGGGTAACATAGAAATGTATACAGTATGACCTAGCTGAAGGTGTTATTTATACAGGTGTCCAGATTATACAGGGTAACATAGAAATGTATATAGTATGACCTAGCTGAAGGTGTTATTTATACAGGTGTCCAGATTATACAGGGTTACATGGAAATGTATATAGTAGGACCTAGTAACAGCTGTGATATATACAGGTGTCCAGATTACACAAGCTTTTCTTTTCAAAAGTAACACTGTATCTTTGAATAGAAAACTTGCCTTGATTTCCTTCTCAAATGGTTTGATGAATGGCGAACCTCTCATGGTCTGTGTCTTGACGATCTGGTCGTCAAGGATGGTTTGAATGTCATCGACCGAGGACAATATGCTGATGCCTGTGTCTCGGTATGAGAGGAGATTGAAATCGACAGAATCCCAATCCTCCATCATCTTCACCATGGCTTTTTCAAGGGAGTGTTCCTATAAAGGTAGTCAGCAGGTTTAGTCAAGATTTCTTAACTTGCAGTGTCTGTCAATATTTTCGTATTTTTTTTCATTCCCCAGTTTGCATATTCACACGGATTCGATATATCAACAAAAAAAATATACAAAATATTACAGCAAAACAGGTACAGAATCATCAATAAAGATTTATCATTGAAATTTCTCTAATAGTATTTTTATCCCTGAAATATCTCCAGTAAACATTTAATTATTATATGATAAATCTTTTAAAATTACATGATCTTTGATTGAAGTTGATCATTATTTAATTAAAACAATCATCAATAAATATTCAAATATCTGCAAACAATTTCTAATAAAAAAAAATTCAAAACAAATTCAAATGCCATGAAGTTCTGTATAAAATTTAACAAAAACCTAGATCAATAAAAAATTCTCATTTTTGATTTAATTAATAATTAATGAGTGATTTGGACAAAAAAATGTGGCTTACTTTTGTGGCTGCAGCACTAATTCCCTCAAAGTTCTCCATATGGGCGTCAAGCTCTAATTTGAGGACTTTTCGGAGTGTTGTTCCGGAGTTGGGAGTAAGGTCAAAGCCAGCAATATCTGACATGTCTGTCCAGTGACGAGCTCTCATACCTCGGTTACACATGATGCCGATCACAGGAATCACATCCTGGAAATCAAGACGAAAAGAAATTATTTCCATCCTATCTGTTACTTACGACACAGGACTGAATTGCACATGTATGAGACAGATTTATCAATGAATTATGAGTTTGAATTGAAGATCATGTACAGTGATAAATGTACGATACGAAATACCAATGCAAAACCAATGCAATGAACTTTCGGTCAAAACCTTCCTTCGCTATCAATAAAAATAAGAATGCTTAAGTAACTACATGTGACCTCAATTCTGCAGTAATCTTGTCCTACAAACAAATGTTTGTCCTGTCAACATTTTCCAGTCTTTGGTGTTAGTAATATAAAGATCTGAACACTCCGAAGCTATGTTTCCTCTCTCTTCATTCACAAGACATGGAAGCTGGCAGATGTAAAAAACAGTGGTACCTGCCTTGCAAAAATGACAGCTTTCAATGTTGTTTTTAATTTTTTTTAAGCATAGCAACCCTCAATGAGACCATATCCCTCATGTATAAGCTAGCGATGACTTTATAATGAGTCAACCTTTTTTTTTTAACATTCTATATTCATTTTAAGAAAATTTATCCATGAAACACTAGTTTAAATGTTTCTGTTTCAAACGATTTTTTATTTTTTTTTGAAGATTATCAGCAATTTCGGTTTTATAAGGACTCATAATAACAATAAAGATGTGAGGAAAATTATCACTGTATAAGATTCTGACCTTGAAATCCCTCATGCTGTCCATGACGTTGGTACACACACCAACAGCCTGTGGCGGATGTAGCACCTCATCCTGGTCCTCCGGCTTAATCTCCTCGCCGCTCTCCTCCGCACCTCGTCGGCGCTTCTTCCTGTCCCTGTTGCGGTCATCGACCTCTATTTGTAGCTTCTTGAGTCGATTGGAAAACACTTTCTGGATCTTGTAAAGCTCCCTGTTATAATCATCCACCTCTGCATCTACTATCTCAGCATCCAGGTCGAGAAAGGAGCCGTCCATCCATCTGCAGACAGAAAAGTGATGTTCTGTTTTAAAATTTGATACTCTCACTGTCTGCGATTTCGTAAGTATTCATTTTCATCATTGTACTAATTTCATTCAAAATCTTCTCTCATCAACAATCAATTACATGTATTATTATTTCAAATTTTACATTCTTAACGTCATCGATCAAAAGGAAACGATTTTAAGTCCAGTATTTTTCTACCTAAATTTTACAGCACCAAGTGCCTGTATGAATTGGGAAAATATAGAGATATTTTCATTAAAATTGGGGAGATATTTTTTTTCTTAATTTTACAAAAATAAAGCCTTTTTTTCGCTAAGGGAAGCTACCTGTTTTTCGGCAACAAAACAAGGCCAAAAATAAATCACAGAAAGTTAATGAATGCAAATAAAGTTGTTCAAGATTCCAGATTTCTAGTACTGTAATTTCTTCTTAATACATAAAAGATAATGACTCCAAATTTTGCCTACTTTTTCTCTGCCTTCTGCCAGCGTAGTACCACATTGAACAATCTCTGGAATGGATCCACAGCCGCTGTGATGTCATCAACATCCGGGTACGTAGAAATAGGATACTTAAACAGAAGCTCCTCCTACAAAACAGGTTGAATTATATCTCCCTTTATATCTCTGAGACAAGCACAAGTTACATTTGAAACAGTTTGACACAAGTTTTCGGTCCCCAATTCTTTTTTAACAACTTGCATCATCTTATCATTACCCTAAAAACTACAAAATGGCCACTTCAAAGGATCATGGAATGCCAAATGGCTTAATGGAAAATATAACTAAGCAAAATATTGGAGAAAAATTCTATCTGAAGACATTTAATTCTTTGTCAAACCCATAATACAATTTCCATGAGTAAAAAAACAGAGATATAACAGCAACAGTATTAAACGATGATATTAAAAAAAAAAAAAAAAGTTTAAGTTCATTTTCTTAAAACTTTGCTGAAGTTCATGGTGATTTGAACTCTAACTTGTCTCAAAGTATACCTTGTTGATCCAGGTGATCTGTTCTGTGACGTCAGCAACACGTTTCTGTACGAGGCGGACATCTTGGACATACTGCTGCATCATGTCTAACTCGCCGTAGTCATTAAACTCATCAACACGCTGACGCAGTTTCTCGAGCTCCATTATCACCTTCTCACGTTTCTCCAGTAATTGTTTCTCACCGTTGATCTTAGACTGATCCACCAGCTGTAAGGGTCAAACATATTCATCAGTTCAAGGTCAACATTACATACATTTGTTAGCAAAGGTCAAGGTCAAAATTGTTCTTGATCATAGACTGCTCTACCAGCTGTAAGGGTCAAACAAATTCATCAGTTCAAGGTCAAAATTGTTCTTGATCATAGACTGCTCTACAAGCTGCTAGGGTAAAGTATATACATTTATTTAAGCAAAGGATGAAAGCTGAAAACATTCTTGAGTAAAAGTCAAAATATAATGATGAACATGTGTTCAAGTTTAAACATATGTATACAAACTTACATACATTCATACATACATGCACAAGTAAATGATTACAATCAAACACATTTGTGAATACAAAGTAAAGATCAAACACATGATGAATACAAGTTCAAGGTCAAACATATTCATGAATACAGGTTCATGGTCAAACATGTTCATGAATACAAGTTCAAGGTCAAACATATTCATGAATACAAGTTCAAGGTCAAACATATTCATGAATACAAGTTCAAGGTCAAACATATTCATGAATACAAGTTCAAGGTCAAACATATTCATGAATACAAGTTCAAGGTCAAACATATTCATGAATACAAGTTCAAGGTCAAACATATTCATGAATACAAGTTCAAGGTCAAACATATTCATGAATACAAGTTCAAGGTCAAACATATTCATGAATACAAGTTCAAGGTCAAACATATTCATGAAAACAGGTTCATGGTCAAAAGTATTCATGAGCGCAAGATCAATGTCAGACACATTGATGATTACAGAGCGAAGGTCAACTGGACTGCAAACAAATCTAGGACATACAGGCAGCTCAGACAAAATCTAGGCAGCCTAGGAAAAAAACACGGTACATTAACATTTGAACCCTGTTCGTGCTTACATCGTCATGGTCGTCAAACACTGGGTTGATACGTTTCGGCCAGGTGAGCACTTCACAGTTGAGGGTGATTTCTTCAGGTGGAAACATGTACACATCGATGAGATATGCCAGCCTGTTTTTAGAGTCGGAGATACGCGTGTTGAGGTCAACCATTCCCACTGTTCTGGCATTGCCGATAAATGTCATCATGTTCATCAGATCTTCCGTAGTTTCTGGGTGCTGAAGGGCACGGTCTCTCATTGTTGTAAACTCTTGGCAAATACTGCAACAAAAGTTTGCAATTTTTTCATCAGCACTTATGCTAATATTCTGGAAAACTGTATCTTCCTTAAACTAACAATTAACCAATATTTAGCAACTGATCTAAATCACTTTTGAACCAATAGTTAAAAGTTATATAGGGTGGTGGGATAGCATAGTGGATAGCACAAGACGGCCAGGGTTGGATTCCAAGGACGTGAAAATATAATTGGTCACCTGGGTTTCCAACAACATTAAAGGACCTCCTGTACTCTCCCACCCGGGCCAACAAGAGCATATCAATATTTATAACTTTTAAGTCAGAAAAAATGGTTTCAAAATTGTTGTAAAATGAATACAAATATTTATATAAATTCAATAGAATTTTTTAATTTCAATAACAGTCATATTCACTCATCCACCAGTGATCCCTAGATCCAATTAGTGTTTTTGGAGTTAGTAACCTCGGCAACAGAAATCCACTTTTAGTTAGGAATGAATATTGCTTTAATAATGCAACTCAATTGCAATACAGATATAATGAAAACTTTAACTACATTTCGCCAAATGTTTTCTTGAAATTAAGAAATACTGACCTCATGTTTTCTCGCCGGTGGTCGTCGGACACCTTCCTCAGAAGTTCATCGGCCAGACCCCTAGAAGCCTCGGCAAGTCCTCGCTTGAGGTCCTCACAGTCAAGGCGAATCATATCGAAGTGCTCAATACTGGGCAAACCCATGATTTCTCTCGCAACATCCCGGTACTTTTCAATTTGCTGTTTGGAATAAAGAAAGATGTTTTGAAACAATAGTTATGAAAGGTGGCCGATATGAGAAGCCTGCGATAAGGGGAAATATTTTACTTTTGACCTCAATATGCTCGACAATTATATGACATTGACCGGGTCTATCACAGATAACATTATCCTCAAATGAAGTTATTAAAACACAATAGAACACTCACTAACATATTTTAGAATCACATTGACCTTCAACTTGTGTGTCTATGACCTTGACTTTAAAAATCATGACCAATATTTTTCAACATATTTTTAACACAGACTGTTGCATATATCACAAACTTCAGTGTTAAACTCTTTGCTATAAGCTCCTTCTCTATTTGGAACTAAGATTTCTGTTCAAAGCATATCTCCATTATTTCTAGAGACACTGTACAGTACATTTTTACAATTTAAGACTTACCTCTTGATATTCAGCGAAGGTGTGTTCATGTTTCACATATTCATGGATTTCGGCGAGAGCCTCACCATTTACGATGTAGTCGTATCGTTGAACTGAAAAATGAAAATTCATTGTAAGCATTCAACATCTGTTGAACTGAACAAGGAGACACATTTATCAAAGATTTCAGGCACGAGTTAAAAAAATAAAATAATCTCGTGTCAAACCTGCAGTAAGAGACCACTCCAGGGATGTTCTTGTAATTTTCTCTAATCGCAAGTGACCTCTTAGCAAAGGTTCAGTTAACATGAAAGTAACTGCAATGAAGGGTTTTAGAAGTGGTCTCTTAACCCTTTCACCCCTATATAACTCAAGTAGACTCTACCATGCATTGATATGGATGAGTCCATTATAGTCTACAGTGGTAAAAGTGTTAATAGAGGTGTCCCTCAAGCAGGTTTAAATTTGACTGTACACTTTATACATCCATGATAAAAAAAAATACCATGAACATCTGACAAGGGGAGATTTAAATCTGCCAAAAAATAATGTGCTGAAGTGAAAATGAAATAAAAAAAATGGTCATGTGAAGAAAAATATCTTCAATAAGATTCATCAGTTTGGAAATATGTTATATTAAAGTTTTACTTTATACACAAACATTGTATGTACTAAATGTGTTGCAACGTTTCCTGATGACTGGTCCTTTTGTCAAACTATGATAAAGGGACCAGTTGGTCTCAAAACATTGCGACACTTTTAATACGTACATTATTTGTGTATAAAGTAAAACTTTGTTATGATGAAAAATACTTTCTTAAACAGAGTTAATAAATCACACTGCATAGATACTTAAATCATTCCCAATATTGGCATCAAAGAAATTCTTCGACGACCTATACTCATGGAGTCTGACAGTTGACTTACCGAAAGACTTGAGATGGGCCTGTGGTGCCTCAAAGTTCAGCTTAACTGCTTCCTTCAGCTTCTTGTTCGCTGCATCTAGGATGTGTTTTGAGATTGTGACGTCAGTGTGGTTGACGGTGCTGCCACCTGCCAACCAAGACTGGACAGTTGGTACCTGCTGCATGGTCTTACAAACTTGCTTGACCACGAACAGAACAGTCTCCTCCAAGTCTTCCTTGGGAGGATAAAACTGCATCTTTTGGTCGTCAAAGGTCAGTTCCATTTTCATTTGGGGGAGGTGGGTTTTGTCGCTGGGGTCGAATAGACCGACAAATGCATGGATGGTTCGTTCCAGTAGATTTTTAAGCTGAAAGGATAATATAAATATAATTAAGTACAAGGATTTTTTTTTATAGAGTTCTACTTTTAAGTAAATTTTGGTAATTTCATTCTGATTGAACAAGAGTTTTCAAGAACATTATTTACTTTTCATTTTATTAATAAACTAGAACACCGACAGGTCAGCAAGGGCCCAGCTAGGAGCCTTATTGTTACCCTCTGCCCTATTTTTAGTAACAATGACCTTGACCTGAAATTCAAAAACTTGTAAAACCTCCATTGCACATTTAAATATCACGAAGTCTCACTGTTTCAAATCAAAATAAAGATTAGCCTAGCTTTTTGGATTCTGCAATAAGGACTGTAACCCATATGGTCTACTTTAAATAACATTGACCTTGGCCTTGACCTTAGACACTTTTTAAACCCCTATTGCACATCTATGTATCACAGTGCATTACCATGTCAAATTTCAGAAAGATTGGTGTTTTGGATTCCAAAATAATCTCCAGAAACGGGGCCCAAACTAATTTCGAACAAATGATCAAACAAACAGAAAATCTCAATGCTATATACCTGGTTTGAGATCAAAGTGGTCACACTGTTGTAGAAGGAATCAATTTTGTCCGCCTTTGGAGGAACAAATGCTACTTTGTCCGCAAACACGTTGATGATGGTTGGAAACCAGCTGTGAAGAAACATGTTATATTGATGAAGGAAAGAATACAAGTTTTGCGATTTTTTTCTCTCTCATTTGTGATTTGTAATTTGACTGTTAGTCTGTGTAAAAAAGTTATTTCAGGCCAAACAAAATTATACATCTGTGTCACATCAATCTCTCTAGTTCTCTTGTCAGACACTTACATTTCTAAACATATTTTTACCATCGTATAAACTCTATGCAAAAACAATTTCCAGATAAAAAGTGTCGACTAGCTGTTCCCTAGTTTTCCAAAGAGTGCTAAACTGGAAACAGATAATTTGTTAATTTGGCCAAGCTGGTAACTCAATGATTATTACTGTTGACAGGTCTGAAATACCTGTGCATAAGTTTGTCTTCCATTTTCTCAAGGTCAAGTTGGATATTGTTTTTCATGGATTCAAACTCGATGGCTCCATGTGCCCTGGAAAGCAAAATAGAACAGTAATATTACAACACAATAATTTAATTTTGCTTGTAACAAGCATTTTCATTGGCTTAAAAATTTATGTTATCAGTCCATAACGTAAAAATATGACATCGCCGTTTGTAACGTCGCTTTTGATTGGCTGATACAGCAGCGCAATAATTTCTAAGAGAAAAGAGTCCATCAATAAAAGTGGATTTCCACAGGGATTGTGTATATTAGATTAAATTACAAGGATTAACTTGAATATATTTTTTATGTTATGGAGCTATAACACAAAGACCGGAGTGTACTCTAATCATAAACCGCTTCGCAGTTTATTTAGAGTACACTCTGTTTTTTTGTGTTATATCTCCATAACATGAAAAATACATTCAAGTTAATCCTTAAATAATAATGAAAACTCTCCGTTCAGGCAGAATTAAGATTAACCAGGATAAATTCGGAAAGAGAAATATAGAGGCTCTATTTGAACATTTGTTCCATCTTTTATATACCAGGTATGTTAACAAGGATCTTAGGTAAATTCAAAGTTGGGCTCTACAAGATATTGAGATTGCCCCAAATCCCCTCCCAGAAATATTCCTAAAAGAGGTTCATATTGTTTCAGAAAGTATAACAACAATAAAAACAAGAGGCCCATGGGCCTTAACAGTCACCTGATATATTTATACAGAGAGTTGATTTTGTTTTTAACACAAACAGAAATATTATTCAGTGACAAAAAACAATAAAACCACCTTATTCAATACCTAGCATACAGATTTAAGACTAAAAAGTATTTGAAACTAGCACCTCTGATTCTAAACAAGGAAAATGAAGAAATTTTAGCACACTGACTCATTTTGGCCCCACCCTACAGCCCTTGGGGGTAGGGCTGGCTCAAAATTTTCAAAGTATCAAACTGTCAACTCAGGGTTAAAATTCCAATCAAGTTATCAACATGTAATATTCAAAGTATCATTTGCCATTATAAACCATAATAAATTTTGCCCCCCCCCCCCCCCCCCCCCC